AAACCAAATAACCCGATTGAAAAATGAGCGGAGGATCTGACAGACACTTCTCCAAAGAAGAAATTCAAACAGCCAACAGGCTCATGAAAAGATGTTCCATATCACTAATCATCAGGGAAATGCAAATTAAAACTACAATAGGTATCATCTCACACAAGGTAGGATGGCCAACATCAAAAAGACTAGGAACAACAAATGCTGCCTAGGATGTGGAGAAAGAGGAACCCTCCTACACTGCTGGTAGGAATGTAAATTAGTTCAACCATTGTGGAAAGCAATATGGAGGTTCCTCAAAAAACTAAAAATAAGAATACCATTTGACCCAGAAATTCCACTCCTAGGAATTTATCCAAAGAAAAAAATTCCAGATTCAAAAAGACATATGCACCCCTGTTTATTTCAGCACTATTTACAATAGCCAAGATACGGAAACAACTTAAGTGTCCATCAGTAGATGAACGAATAAAGAAGATGTGGTACACTACACAATGGAATATTATTCAGCCATAAGAAGAAAACAAATCCAACCACTTGCAACAACATGGATGGAGCTAGAGGGTATTAATGTTCAGTGAAATAGGCCAGGCAGAGAGAGACAAGTACCCAATGATTTCACTCATTTGTGGAGTATAACAACAAAGCAAAACTGAAAGGAACAAAACAGCAGCAGAATCAGACTCTAAGAAGTGACCAGCAGTTACCATAGGGAAGGGGGTGGGGATAAAGGGGCACAGTAATTCACAATCCCAATATAGGTTGGTCATGGGGACAGTAGTAGAGCACAGAGAATACAGTTAATGATTCTGTAACATCTTCCTATATTGATGGACAGTGACCCCACTGGGGTAAATGTTGAACCACTGTGTAATGTATTTGAAACCAACATAAGATTGTGTATCAGTGATACTTTAATAAGTAAAAAGAAAAACAAAGAAACAAACAATGAGTTAGAAGAAGAAATGTGTGCTATATAACTTGACTTTAACTTAAAGGAGTAATGCACTAATGTAACTAATTTCCATCATAAAATCAGTTTGACAGACACGGAGTGTTTAATTACTGAGGTCCACTGTGAATCTCTAAGAGGGAAATAATGCATTCACCATTTCCAAACTCACTTGTACATAGGACTCGACTTATTATTAATATAACATCTATTAATTTCAATGGAACTCAGTTTTGGAAATACTGATATAATCAATGGTCTAGGATGACCTAAATTTATAACTTTGGAAGAGAAATGTATGCTTCTAGCATTCATTTAAGGACAAAAACTTACTTAAACAATAAACAGCAGCTAATCAAGTGCAGAAATGATATATTTCCTACTCAAATCTGGTTTCACACCATTACTACACTTCTTTGTGTGTGCAGAAAACAAATTATATTATGATATAATTTACAATATTATCAAAACTATATGAGAACATGATAAAGCCCAACCATAATTCAGTCCCCCAATTCCCAAATGCATTTGACCAACCTGTACCTGGAATGACACTTTTCTCCTAATTCCAGGCCAAGGAATATCAAATGAATTGGGTGAGGCTGGAGGTGAAATCAGCCAGGCTGTCACATTGTCACAAATTTAACAAAGAAGTTCTCTTGCTCTCAGCATCTCTAAATGTTATCCACACAAGTATTCCAGGACAAGATACAAATAGAAGACTGACACTGTACATTTTAATTTTTTCAGAATGTTTATAAAATTGTGATTTCTCATAAAAGATCTTTTGTCCTCAGTCCTTGTGCTGCAATATGCAAACGACTAACCAGCACTAATATAGAAGCAGAAAATAATATACTGTTTATACCGTGCTTTCATTTCTTCAAAATTCTGTTGGAACTCTGTACACAGTTCACAATGAAATAAAAATAGTCACATAATAAAAATTTTAGGAACTTTACAAAAACATCAACATATTCAATGACATCAGTTTTAAGAGTAGGGAAAATATCAAAGATAGAACTAAAGATTAGCTAATTCAGACCAAGAGAGTCAACCAATGTCATCTAGCCTGCCTAAACCTAAATTTAAGTTTTTCTTTTTAAAATATTCAAAATCTCATATCATAAAATGTATTTTGTACATTTGATATTGTTCTCTTGTAATATTTTTTTCTGTCCTTGAAAGGCAGATTTCACTATATGAAATTGTTTTAATGTTTCCAAATTAGTTCAAGAAAATGCTTTTTTTAAGTTATTTTCTATAACTTAACTACTCAGAGGCAAAAACTTGTTTAAAAGAAAACAAGCAGAGATATCAAACTGCAAAGAAGTCACTAAAAAAGAACATAGTATCTTAGCAGAGGTATAGTAGTAATTCCAAATGGGAAGATATCCTTATCTGTATTAATTCCCTCTACAATAACTGAATGAAAAATAAAATTCATTACATTTTCAAACTGATACATTAGAAACATCAGAAGAGGAACTATTTCTTCCTGTTACCATGCTCAAAACATCAATCATCTTGGACAACTTCTCTTCCACCCACAATATTACATTTTCTTGCCCAGAGCCATAGGTGCTATGCTTTAGCGGCTAGGGTCTTTCTTGGTTTTTTAGTCCATCTCCCAGCACCCTAGTCCCAGTCATCATTTTCTTAAAAATTCTTTTCTCTTCATACTTTCTTCATTCTATTTGTAAGCCAGAAATTATCTTAATCATGACTAATGGTAAAAATAATAGCTACTGTTTACTAAATGCCTACTGTGTGTCACACATTGTACAAGGTTTATTCTAGTTCTCACTAGAATCCTCAAAGACAGCTATCACTAGCCTCACTTTACAGGTGTTTCCACATGAAACTCAGAAATGTTAAGTACTCTTCCTAGGGTCACATAGATAACTAGTAGAAAATCAGAATTCAAATCCAATTCAATTTGACTTGTAAGTCTGTCCACACTCTTTTTCTCCAACTAGAAAAGTGCACACAACTGAGGCAAAAGTAGTCCAAGTACCTCAATCTGTCAAGCCCATGAGGGTTCTCAAAACAGTCATCTTGGACAACTTCTCTTCCACCCACGATATTGCATTTTCTTGCCCAGAGCCATAGGTGCTGTGCTTTAGCAGCTCAGGTCTTTATCTTGGCTTTTGAGTCCCTCTCTGAGTACCCTAGTCCCAGGCACCACTTTTTTAAAAAGTTCTCTCTCTTCCTGCTTTCTTCATTCTATTTGTAAAGCCAGAAATTATTTTAATCACGGCTAATAGTAAAAATAATACCAATTTACTAAATGCCTACTGTGTGTCAGACATTGTGTAAGTCTCATGACCACCTTCTTTACCTGCCTTAATAGTATCATTTACTCTCACATATTATTGCAACATTTAACATTTTATATTATTAAGTTAGGCTTTCATTCACTAGTACAGATTTTCGAGACTTACAAAGTTATTTCTATGGGAAAATGAATCATGAGTTACAAACCACCAATCTAAAAGTAAACATAAAATACAAGCCACATGGTAAGCCAAGAATATTCTTTTAGGTTTATATTTGACAGGAGGGGATACATGTTGGTCTCTCTTTTATGATTTAAATCTCTTCATGATTTAAAAAGGATTCTTCCTAGTAAGTTCTTAAATTCTCGATTATAAAAGCAACTTACTAAATCAGAGGTAGGCAAACTATGGCGTGCAAGACAAATCCAGCCCACTGTTCTTTTTGAAAATAAAGTTTTATTGGAATACAGTCATGCCCATTCATGTACATACTGTCTACAGCTGCCTTCTCATTACAGTGAGAGCAGAGTAGTTGCAAGAGACTATCTGCCCTGCAACACCTGAAATATTTACTATCTGGCCCTTTCCAGAAAAAATTTGCCAAATAATTCCTATAGTAGTAAATATAAATCAAATATTTTTGTCAACTATATCTTTTTGGCCATAGGAATTAACATAATCAGATTCCAAAGAGTACTGAGAGGTTAACAAAAACATAATACAACATAACAAAAACAGGTAAGTGAGAAATAAGGGTAAAATGAAGTCTGAGTAATATCAGGACATATACAAGAAGGGAATGCCTGATTGTTCAATCTGAGCACAAATGCTGCTTTAACCTTAGTAGCAGATAAAGAAGAAGACAGACCAAGGTTTACCTCATTAGGTCCAAAACATAAAATCTTAACATTTGCTCACAAAAAAAGCTTCTCAGTTCTTATAAATGGGACACTGTGATACACAATGAAAAACATTCTCCATCATATGGTTAGTTATAGTCAATATAGCAAGCCTTCATGCAGCTCTGCTATATGAAGTGTTAAATAAATATTTAGTGTTCATTACATAAAATAAAGAACCTATAAATCCAACCAAGACCCAAAGAAATGTAGGCTGACATGCCCTGTCCTTGCCCTGCTAGATCTTGGCATAAAATTTAGGCATAGACAGTAATATGACAGTATACGAAATAACTCATCATCTTCTGTGTGGGCTTACATGTTGAAACCAGCCACCTCTTCCCAAGAACACAAAGCAGACCCTATTAAAGGCACCTTGGTCTCCTTTATACTAGTGAATAAACAAAACCAACTTATGAAAGCTTATATTTAGGACTTTTCACTCAGAGATAATATACTAATATCAGCAAAGTTAACTGGACAGTCAGTCAGACATGGAAATAGACATTGTAGGTGTGTTCATAATTACCATTAAAATTATATTCTGCCCCAACTAATACTGAAAGATTTTATTGCGCTACCACCATCTTACTTGAAAAATGAAGTTGGTAGACCAAAACAGACCTGATCATCTACTCGTACAAGTTTGGGGACCCTCAAAGCATGTTTTGCCTGATGTCTGTATAAAGAGAAAAGGGTATAATGTGAACCATTCTAATTCCATTACACAGCTAATGAGTCAATTGATTTGGGATGTTTTTCCTTATTATTCCCTCTCTATGCACGGAATATTTAGGGGCCAATACATATCTTTTAATGTTGTTATTATAGTGCCTTTTAATACATCGTATCAGGGGAAAAAAGTCTAAATATTACCTTCTGTAGAAGCTGCATCAATCATTACTCTTTGCATGAGTACTGGTTCCAATCCAAAGTCGAAAACTATGGTTTGGCGAAAAGTTCCAAATATTTCTGTGTTAAATGCTATCCCGACTTTATACACGTAATGATCTAATCCATTTTGGACCATCTTTCCTCCTATCCATTCTTGACAGTTTTCTGGGACTTCTTGTGATACCTGGGTAGTACTATCTCCGGCAGATATTGCAATGATACTAAAATGAGGACGATGAGCATCATAAAGCAATGCTACACGATACAGCATTCTTGCAGGCTACAAGGAAGTTAAAATAATTCATTGAGTACAAAGGGGTGAAAAATCCAATTGTAATTGGGCTCTTCAATGAAAATATTTCCATAAGGAACTTCTACTTTCCCATGCTTCTAAGATACTGTTTAAAATACAAACTGTGCTCATGAGCCATTTAAGAGAAAATTAGAATGATTTAAAAAGTTAGCTGTTAAAATGATATCTTTATAATGTCATTTATACCTCAATAAAGCTGAAATTTTTTTAAATGATGTATTTATGAGACATCACTAGCCTCCCTGCTCTTCCTGTGATATGTTCATCTTTCACTGTGGCAAAAGCTATCACCCTGTATGACCATCGACCTCCAACTTTCCATACCTTGGCCTGAAAAGGTTTTATTTTGCCTCAAGTAGGAAGTGTTCATAGGAGGGCAGTTACCTCTGAAGGCACTGGATTGGGTTCAAGGCCGAAGCCAAACATTCCCAGACTTTTCATCCCAAGATGCAGCTGGACAGTGGAAGAAATGCCACCAAAAATACACAATACTTTTCCACTGCACAGATTCAAAGAAAATTTTGATTTTGCTTCATTCTTAACCTTTGAATATTATAATTCAAGAGGGGAAAAACTGAAAATGTCTCATATTAAAAACCCATTTTTACAAAATTTGTGAGTTTATCAAATCAAAGATAAAAACAAGTTGTCATTGTTTAAATATCTTAGAACTGCCAGATTAAACAATTCAGTTTTTAAATAGTTAATTATAAGCCATGAACCCCATCCTATGTTCCAAATTTGGAAGACAATATGCCAAAGACCTCTTTACCAAATAAATAAATAAGCAACCATCTAAACATCTAAAAAGATTTTATCTCAAAAATCTAAAAATAATTATACCTTAAATGATCAAAACACAAATATACACTTTAGCACAATATAGAACCTACATTAAAATGTACTTGGATTCAAACATTTTCAATGCCCTTTAACACAGAGATTTAAAAGTCCAAAAAAGCTTTAAGGAAAATGAGAAAAACATTACGTTCTCTAATTAGCATAAAATTCATACCTTACAAGTGAGAGCAAAGGTCCATGTCTGACGAGATTTTTTGGTGTTGACAGTAACCGACAGATCAGGGTTATGCTCTACCTTTACTCCTTCTATACATTCACTAAGCTGAAAATAGAGAGGAATTAATGTTATGTTTTTATTCCTAAAAGCACAAACAAAAACTTCTGGCATGGTAAATAAACATCAACAGTAAAGATGTTGATGGAACTGTTAACAAAGCAAGGTATTTTATACATTAATTTTCAGTTATTTGGGTAACAAAATAAAAAGCTAAAAGAAGATAAAAGAAAATTTACAACAAAAAATGGCAGTAAAAACTCCCTACATGAAAATAAGTTAACATAACATCTGCCAGTCTCCAAACAAACGGCTTGGCTCTGCTCTTTGGTTATTAGCAAATGGGTCTAACTTTTGCTACTAACATACTTTATCAACAATTAAGTTTTTCATATAAAGGATAAGGAAAAAGCCAAAATATAGGACACAATGAAGTCAAGACTAAAACAAAATCATTGCTTAAAACAAACAAACAAAAAAATGCAGTTTATTTTCCTCACCACTTTCTCAGGAGATAATGAATTCATCCACTTTTCTATCAAGGTTTCCATGTAACTGCCTGAGAGCTGTTTATTCTCATTTTGCTGTTTCAATTTTATAAGCCGTGAAGCATATCTTTTCTGCCATTCTGCTAGTTCTTCCTGGGAATGTGCTGAAGTACACTGGGCACCATACCTACAGATTCCTTGCTCTAAAAATCTAAGTAGAATAGGAAAGACTGTTTTATCATATATTTCGTTGGACCATTTAAAAGATAAACTTCCAGCATTTGCCCTCTGACTCCTCAACAACAAAAACAAAACTTCATCTCCTGAAAGCCCATATTTATCACACTGTCTTGCACAGAGGAGTAAGCAGAGGTTTAAAGAACATTTACAACAGTTACTCAAAACAGCAACTCCCCAGATTTGCTGACCTCTTTCTTTGGAATAAGGGGATGCTAAAGCAGAACATAATCATAACCACACCCACCCACAAAAACCAGCATTGAAAAGGTAGCTTCCTGTGTGTTAAAACAACTCTATCAGACAATTCCTTTTAGAGCAGAATTTTCCTAAAGCAACACTGACATCAAGTGGATTAGTTCATCAAACACAGGTATGCCTTACTTGCCAAAATGATATGGCCTAAAGAAAATCTTCTACATACTAAAAATTTGACTCTGAAAAAAATTTTAATATCATTAAATTATCACTGTAAGGTTTCTACTTTTCACCTTCAAATCTAATGCCTGTCCTCTTTTCTACATTACTATTACCTATATTTCACTGAAAATATTAGAGTATATTAATTTGCTTGATGTTTTAAATAAAGTAAGAAAAAGTTTCATAGATCACAATTAATTCAATAGTCACATTAAATTCTTCAGTGGGTAAATTCATAAATGTTCATTTTAAAGGATACAAAGTTAGTGGTTTTTCATATTATGACTCAAAAAATGCAACTGACAATTCAGTGGTCAAAACAGATAAAAATGCAAGACTTTGATCATTAATTTTTTTTTAAGTTTTAAATACCCTGCAAAATTATGGGTCCAACCAGTTTGTAAACATTCGAAACATAAGAAAATTAATAAGAGGTCTTCAGAGAGAAAAAAATGAAAATTAAACTATAAATGGCAAAATGTAGATAAGAGGTTATATTAAGATAATTTTTCAACCAGAAAAATGTTGATAATAAGAAATACAAAATGAACCACAGCACAATATAAATTATCAGTTGGTTCACCCTATTTGAAAAGATAAGTACATTTAAAGCTTTTCTTAATGGTATACAAAGTACTTGAACTTAAATTATACTATCTATTGTTTTCATGCTTCATAAGGTACATTTAAAATCATGCATTTTTTTCTCTTAGGTATGTCTTAGAGGGCCAAATATTTCTTTGTCTTTCTATTGTTTTGTTTTAAATTACTTTCTAAAAATTGAAAGTCTGATATTCTTATCTGGACTATAAATTTTTCACATTTTCTTTACAAAGGACTGTATTCTACCTCTTCTAAAATACAATGCCACCAAGATTTCCAAATTTAGTTTCTTTATTTCTACTGTAAGATCAAATCGGATGTCTTGACCATTCAATCACCAAAACTACACATCAAATATCCTTCACTATCAAAAGCAGTCTAGAGTAATGAGACTTCATAACTAAAATCCCACTAGTTACAAGTTCTTATAAAAAGAACCAGAGTTCACTTATCTAAATGTGACTTTAATAACTATCTTAATATATAATTATTAAACTTTGAAAGGTTATCTCTTCAAATAAAAATTGCTCATAAATCCTATATACAGATTACATGGTTTTCTTTTTTTAAGAAAAGTTATTAAAATAATTTAACATTTTTTCATCTTTTATGCTCTATTTCGATTTATGTAATTTCAATTTCAATCACTGTAACTTCAGTAAATTTCACATAAACAGGAGACCAGAAATTAAATTCAGTCATAATAATCCAACTGGTATTTTAAAAAACCTCTAAACAAAATCTTAACAATCTCCATCCAGATCATTGTCATTTGTAATTAAAAGAAGGCTCATTGATATGATTTTTATTATTTAATGACAACGACCATTATGGCTTCTGTTTCAAATTGAAAATAAACCATCTTACTCTTATATTCAATCATTACTCTACTCAATCATATTTCTTCCTTCACATATTAAGTTTGAACTACTACTTTTCAAACGTGAAGGAAAATTAACTACCCTTTGAATAAAGACATGTCATTGGTTTAAAAAAAAAATTCACGTTACCTTTTACACAAAGTATATTCCTCGCTGCTTGTGATTCCCCTAGGTGGTGGGCGGAAATGCCAACCATTACAAGATCCTAGAGAGTAATCAGGATATAGTCTTATCATTTGAAGCTTGCTAATAATTCTGGTATTTTAACGTGTAAGAAACACTTTTAAACTCTCCAGCAACATCATCCCAGATGATGTAAAAAGGACATGACATACTTGCCTCTACCGAAAAAGTAATCTACCAAATGAGTTAAATCAATTAACCACAGGAAACAAATCACTGAAGAAGCTGTTCCCCAGCAGCTGAGTGAAGCCGATGACCCTATCTCTCTATCTGAGCAACTGGTGGACCTATTTCCAGTCTTATCCCTAACAACTAAAGGGAGGATGAGGGCATGCCTGTCATTTTTAACTATGAAATGTTCTCTATCAGGAATTACTTCAGGAATGACAAAATTATCATATCCTGGAAGGAGATTTTATAAAATAATTCCATTATGGCATAATGAATGAGAAGAAATTCCATCCATGTTCCTTAGGATCTGTCTGACATATGTCAGTGTATAAAGTAATCCTTCTTTACAACTGAAATAAAGTTCAAAAAATTGAATTCTGACATAGGAGCTAAAAAATAACATTTGTTTGCTTCTGAATAAAATGAGCTTTGATTCATTTACATAAAATGTTCCAAATAAACAAAGGAAAATAGGGTTTACAAAAGAAAAGGCTAGGGCTACAGAGGCTGGGCAGTGACAAGTTTTCAAGAACATTATAGCCTTTCTCTATTTCCTCACAAGTCACATGCCCCCATCAAAAAAACAAAAGACATTCAGCCAAGATGAGTTTAAGGCTGTATAGCTGTGTGATTGGAAAAATTACTACACCTCAATAAATGCCAGTTTCATCACCTATTACAAAGATGACCAGGGCTGAGAAGCCAGTACTCGTCTTTGTGAAAGCCACTACCTACCACAATACACGGTAGCTAGCAAGTGTCCAACAAATGCTGGTCTCTCTTCCCTTTCCTCCAGTAAGAGAAGAGAAAATCATGGAGTTTATTTGCAGAAGGAACACCTCAGCTTACAGATCAGAACTTCCAAAAAGTGGTATTACACTAGCCTGGAGAAAGAGAGAGAGACTAAAAGACCTCCCTCACAATGTAGAATTCAGCAACTCTAGATTGCTAATAATGAGATTTAAATTCAGAACTACATGGAGGCAGGAAAAATGAAATAGAGGACCTCTGGAGTTACTCCTACCTCCGCTAGTCCATTATTCTATCAAAAGGGGCCAGTGAAAAAATTGTTTACATCCGCAACATATTCTTAAAATTAATTTATACTCTTGCCTACACATCCACTTACATATACTGTAAATTTCTTCCCAATAATCAATAAAAAAGTAATGCCCAGAACCACAGCTACCAAAAGTTACATGGAATTTGGTACTTACCCTCTTCTAAGTCTTCCACATGATATCCAGAGAGGATGTTACTAGTTGCTGTCTGCAATTTTCCAAATGAAAGACATTTTTATAATAAGAAATGACCAGTTGACATTGAATTAAACTTGGACATTTTCAACATTTTTTAAAAGGTTGAGTTTGAATACTCAGAAATTCTTAATAAACATTAATATTGCAAATGCTATTTTTGCTGTTTGCTCTATGTTAAACTACATTTAAATACAGAAAATAAGTACTTGTGTGACCATCTTTAAGGAAACTGATCCCTTACATAAAAATTACCTGGTAGCAAAGGAAGAGAAGTCTAAGTCCCCAATCCTGAGCCCCATAGCATTGTACTTTCCATCCATTCATTCATTTCACTCTCATCTTCCCAACATCTAGAGAACAGCTAGCTAGCAAGGTACATTCTCCTGCACCTAGTGCAGCACCAACAGCGGGGAAGCTGGGAGTACGTCCTGCCAAGTCCCCCTCACTCTGGGACAAGGTCTTCTCCCACAGTGGAGCCCACGGCTGGGGGCTCACTCACTCTGACTTCCTGGATTTCTTGACTCCCTTCGTGCAGATGAATCCCCAACCTGCCCCTCTGGCTCCAACTTTTAAGTTCCACACTCACAATTTCAACTGAGTGCCTGCCTCAGCACTTTTTCTTAACTACGGTATAGCATTTACATGCTGGATCAGTGTCAGCCATCTACAGATCCACTGTCAACAACCTGCAAGTGCCTTTCCTGTATTCCCATACCTCACAGAGAATCTGGCACATAATGGTGCCCAGTAAATGTGGACGGGTGGGTGGATGGATGGATGGAAGCACCCAAGCACCTCAATGACAGTAAGTCAAAACAAAATTCATCAACTTTACCCCAAATCTCATCCTCCTTCAGAGCTCCTTATCTCCAGTTAATGAATTCATCTTCCCCAAAATGAGACAGACTGAAATTCTGAAAGCCATCTTGAACTCCCTCTTCTGCCCTGCTCCAAGGATTCTCCAAATCTTGCCCAAGCCAGTCTCGAATGCCTCATACTCCCTACTCATTACTGCTTGTCATCATTACTTGTCTCTTCTACCCCTGAACCAACTGACTGCCAACCTTACCCTGTACCAAGTCATCTCTGAGTTTTCACTTAGCTGCCCATCCTATATAACCTCAGTTCCCACATTCCCGCCTCCCTGGTCTCCCCAAAGAGTGTTAATCATTCGTTCCCTGGCTTTTACTTCCATTACATCCCTTACTGAACACAGGCTGCTCTACAGGTACATTAGCTGTATGTATCTCAGACCAGCCCACCGGATTTTTTCCTAGGTATCTCAACTTTGTAAAACCCACAGCATCTTGAACAGCACAGGTGCTCTGCAAATAATGAACTGAATCAGCAGGAGGAAATAGTACACTAAAATGAAATTTGGAATGTCCCGTACCATAGAAATAATGTCACAAATGCTAAGTGGGCATAACTGAAACAATGGTATCACTATAATTTATCTGTCATTGTTAAACTGGACTTTTTAGACTGGGTTGGAATGAAATCATTGTATTTTAAAAATTACTAGTAAGTTTTTAAACACAGCCCATTCTTTCTGTAAAATGAGGATTGAATATAAGACTACACAAGCTAACAAATCAATTAGGAGTAACTGCTCATGTGACAAGGGTTCTATGCTCATACAAGATATGTGAAAAGATCTCTTTAAATTTTACAAGTGAAGAGTAGGCACCATAGTCCCACACTGGCCCTTAAAATATGATTCTACCTTTATAAAATTTATAAAAATAAAAGCTAAAAACTCACACCAAGTATGAATTTAAAGTATTTCATCTAAAAATTCTATCAAAATTAATTAACCAAATATGCAAGAAAATGGGAATAAAATGTTTTGGTCATAAAATAAAGCCAAAATCATTTATATTTGTTAGAAGGGAAAAACCCATGGTGTGTTCCACAAGCGAGCATCTGCAGCGATTGGCAAATGGGCAGCGAGTGTCTGTGCTGACACTGCGGTTCTCAGCCTGGGGGGTCAGCGAGGGGCACATCCTCATCAGAAGGGCTGGTATAAATCAGAAGCTGGGCTTCAGCTGGGCATTTGGCTACCATGGGTTTTAGTTTCCAAGATACTGAGTTTAGTTTTATTTAAACATATGCTCCGACCCTAAAATTGAAGAGCAATATTCATTAGCTTAGATCTTCAGTTTTTACTGATGCCTTCAGGGAAAGCAGCCAATTTCATATTGCTAGAACTTCTATAAATTTGCAAACAAATATAGTGATTTGATACTTTAAGTTTTACTAAAGAGCATGTAGTGTTCTTATTTCCATTAGTCAGCTTTTAGTTCCATGTCTTTATTCTCATCAACAAGCATTAACAAGTTAAATACCAGCTCAGCCCAATCTTTAAATAACAAATTGTTGCATTTTTAAATGTCATGGGCAATAATAAATAAGGGTAGCATTGTTTGTTAGCTTTTTCAACGTGGATTTTTATTTTCAATAGTATCAGTTCACTAACAAAAAAAGAATACTACTTTAGTCACACAGAAATGATAAGCAAAACTTAAGCCACCTCTTCCAAAAGTATAGTCACAAAATAAGACTTAAATGATATTTGTGGCTTTTCATACAACAGGATTATAAACATTAAACATCAAAGTTTGCAATATATATTTTTGTGTGACTATCAGATGTAAAGCTGGTCATTCAATAAGGCAATAAAAGACAAGACCAAGCCAAAAATCTTAATAAAATGAAAGGGCATCTTATTTTACATTCACATTTTAAAAATCTAAAACATTTGTAATTATCTTTTTACTCCTTAGAAATTAAAAGACTATATATATCCAAGAAAAAAATGGCTTTGTAGTTAATTAGAGCTTACTGATTCTCAGTTAATTCACAATAAGATAACGTAAGACAAAGAACATGATATATATTTTTAAAGCCCATATACTTGTAGCAAAACAAACAGTATCTTCATCCAGTTTATGTAAATCATGGTGACCACCTTCTTTGCTTACTTTTTGTTGGTAGGAACTGTGATACATTATCAGATTTGGAAGGGAAAGTAATTACAGGAGGTCAAGGTTAACAGCCAGGGTCCTCTCCACTTGTCTAGAGCACCCTTCAGCTCATTCTCCATGAGACTGGCACCTTCTTAACCCCAGCTCTTCATTTACCTGTCCCATCCCCTGACCACCCAATCCAGTTATTTTTTCCATCACAGAAAGCTCATTCTTGTCCCTTATACTACCTTAGTTGTTTAATTGACATATTTATGCCTACCTCTTCCCCAGACTTCAGCCCCCCAGAGAAGAAGGGTCTTGATCAGTGCTGTACTCCCAGCACCAGGCAAGGACCCAGGACACAGCAGATGCCAATTTTTGAATAAATAAGCCAATCAATTACTTTACAAGGGCTTCCATTTATGATAAAAGCTGCCAAAAATGCCTGTTTTAAAAAGGAGACATCTAAATAAGAACACTTTTATAAGCTTGTATAAGGAATAGAAATTTGATATGTAGAATGCTTTGAGCCTTTTACATACCATTGCTGTCCCTGGGCTTCCATGTGTCCTTCAAGTGCTTAAAGTGCTTCACAAGAGCATATTTTTGTTCACCATTTACCCTGATACACATTATTTCCATTTCCTAAACCCAACCACTAAAAGCAACCCTTAAATCACAGACTTTTTTTAGTTGCACATAAAAACACAAAAGGGGTAAGAAGTATCTTCAATGACAGTACTTCCTAACAACCAGATGTAGTGGAACACTAGTATTTCCTAATCATCTCCCCACTTGTTGGCCAGAGACAGCTAACAAGAATTAGGAACAGAACAAAAGACCTGGGATGCAGAGGACACATGAGAAAAGCGAAGTTCCTCAGACAGGACCAAGCTGGACTACAGGAGAAGATTGGAAGGTTCCACTAGCCCACCTTTACAGCCTTGCTTTCTTGGAGGGTGCCCAATGATTTTCCACATTTTCATACAGAACACTTACTAGCCAGAAAGAGTTAAACTCTTTCCAAAGAGAGCCACTGAAATAGTCTTACCTCTGTTTCTGTGAGAAGTGTTTTTAGTCTTGTCAAATCTTTTGTTACCATCCCATTCTGAAAAGGTGAATGAAAAGGGAAAAACCAATTTGCATATTAGTTCTTTACTATGGAGACTTAATTCCTCAGCCACTTCTAAGGTGTATCTGTTAAAAAAAAAAAAACTATGCTACCTTCATCTCCTATCCCCACTACCACTAATGGTGATAATAGAGCTAATTGTCTATAAGGGAAGTTTAAGAGATTAACAGGACAACATCTACAGTATGCCCTAAAAACACTGTATTTACTTTCATTAGGAGTTTAAAAAATCAGTTCAATAAAACATTCACAACAGGTATCACTGAAGAGCAAGATAGGTAAGTGAAGAGAAAAATAAACCTAAACTTTTTTTTTAACTATCTTTTTTTCCTAAAACTAATGGGCTTTTATTTGCAAAATGGTAACGTCAGTTACCCATGACTCAGATTCACACAAAATGATCACACCACTTTAAAGATAGCACATTTGTAAAGCTGCTCAAGGAAAACATACAAAATACTCACTCTTCTGAAATTCAAATTTCTCTTAAGCTTTAAAAGCAAATTACTTCTTTCTAGTTTTAAGTTTCAAAACTCAACAGGTAAAACTGTGTAAAATGCTTTACATAGAAATGTTCCTTAAGGACAGAATTATCTTAATAATAAAGAAGGGATATATTCTTTACTAAACAGCTATACAATTTTGCTATATTCATAATACATCTTAGTTTATCCATTTGTGAACTACTATTAAATCAAAAAACATTGCTAAACCAACTAAACAATTCACTGCATACTAATTCCTTAGAAAATAGCTAAATTATCCTCTGAGATGGGTAATTACATTAAACTCAGCAGTATACCAAGTACTTTCCTAATGTTTTTTTGACCAAATATATTCATTTGCAGTGAAAACACAACTTTGCTCCAGATTTTCACAATTCATATCAATTCAGAAGAATAAATAAGGTATGGGAATTCATGCTGTATAGCAAAGTATACATATACTTTCTTGCCTTCATTATTTTTCATTATGACTCCTGAAAAAATATCAGCAAATTTCATGACAATTACCAAATGGTGAAAAGTTATAATATCTCTTTTCTTCCGAAAGTATAGATTGACAACTCTAATGTTCCAAAATGTAGCCTTTTGATGATCTCAGCCAAAAAGCAGACAAAATTCTAGAAAATCAAATGCTACATTAAAAAAAAAAAATTGATCCCCAAGTCTGAATACAATTAGACAGCTCCATCAGAGTGGTCATGAATATTAACTTACAGACACACCACCTTCAGAAATAAAGGTAATTATTGCTTAGGTTAGATAAATTCAAACATTTTATAAAATAAATGGTTTAATTGTTGAGAACCTTAAATAATCGTATGTCCACAAGAGTATTTTTTAACTCAAAAAATGTTTCCAAGGTCTGTTCAACTGTATCTTTAAATAAAATCTTTCAGTTATCCTATATTTTTAAAGTTTTAAAAAGTACCTGCAGTCCCTACATACCGCAAACTACAAGAATCCAATGACTAAACATCAGTTCGTTGTAGAGAAATGAGTCTCTCAAAATATTCATGCACTTTGATTTCTGATAGGAAGAAATAAGAGGACAAATGCACACTATTTTTCCCTACAATATACCTACAGAGTCAAATTAATGAATCCCTTCTGTGCACATTCAAAATTAGAGCTCACAACGTACCAGGGACTCTCCTGTCAGTGACTTGGCAAGAATGTTGGCTACAGGTTGGAGCTTTCCTTTCAGCTGCATGCAGCAAAGCACCGCCTGAAAGGCCCCATCTCCCTTGGCCAGTCCTTCTCCCAGCACTGTCGTGAGAGAAAGCCACCATTAGCCTCATGACATTCAATATGCAGTTTTCTTAATTGTAATATTAGCACACTATCACAAGTATGACTTCTTGTTGCTGAGAGTAATTCCAAGTACTAGAGGAAAGCAGTGATGTTTCAGTTCTGTCCACGACATCCATGAAGACAAGAAAAAGCACGGGGCAACCTAACCCACTACAGCCTACAGCCAGAACAGGATCACACCAAAATCACAGCAAGGAGAAATACTCTTAAAAGATCTCCAGTGAAAAATACTGTTCAACCTATAATTTCTGAGTAAACGAGGGCTTTTAAACTGCAGAGATATTGGTTGAATAAAGTTCTCACATTTTTCACAGTGACACAAGAGATCCCATACTATTAAAATACCTAAAAATAGAAACCACAAATCTCACCATTTGAAATTCCTAAACAATTAACAATTAGCCTTTTTCAAAACCAACAAGATTCACTAAGGACCCAATCATCAAATGGTCAAATGCTACAAGTGTTTACAGATTAATTTAATATAATCACAAAGAGTACATATTTTTAACAATACAGAATATATCATTTTTATGCCATGTCATCTGAGATGATTTCTCATGGCAACTGCTAATGGATCAACTAGGAAACTTGACAATTACCAAATGGTGAAAAGTTATAATATCTCTTTTCTTCCGAAAGTATAGATTGACAACTCTAATGTTCCAAAATGTAGCCTTTTGATGATCTCAGCCAAAAAGCAGACAAAATTCTAGAAAATCAAATGCTACATTAAAAAAAAAAAATTGATCCCCAAGTCTGAATACAATTAGACAGCTCCATCAGAGTGGTCATGAATATTAACTTACAGACACACCACCTTCAGAAATAAAGGTAATTATTGCTTAGGTTAGATAAATTCAAACATTTTATAAAATAAATGGTTTAATTGTTGAGAACCTTAAATAATCGTATGTCCACAAGAGTATTTTTTAACTCAAAAAATGTTTCCAAGGTCTGTTCAACTGTATCTTTAAATAAAATCTTTCAGTTATCCTATATTTTTAAAGTTTTAAAAAGTACCTGCAGTCCCTACATACCGCAAACTACAAGAATCCAATGACTAAACATCAGTTCGTTGTAGAGAAATGAGTCTCTCAAAATATTCATGCACTTTGATTTCTGATAGGAAGAAATAAGAGGACAAATGCACACTATTTTTCCCTACAATATACCTACAGAGTCAAATTAATGAATCCCTTCTGTGCACATTCAAAATTAGAGCTCACAACGTACCAGGGACTCTCCTGTCAGTGACTTGGCAAGAATGTTGGCTACAGGTTGGAGCTTTCCTTTCAGCTGCATGCAGCAAAGCACCGCCTGAAAGGCCCCATCTCCCTTGGCCAGTCCTTCTCCCAGCACTGTCGTGAGAGAAAGCCACCATTAGCCTCATGACATTCAATATGCAGTTTTCTTAATTGTAATATTAGCACACTATCACAAGTATGACTTCTTGTTGCTGAGAGTAATTCCAAGTACTAGAGGAAAGCAGTGATGTTTCAGTTCTGTCCACGACATCCATGAAGACAAGAAAAAGCACGGGGCAACCTAACCCACTACAGCCTACAGCCAGAACAGGATCACACCAAAATCACAGCAAGGAGAAATACTCTTAAAAGATCTCCAGTGAAAAATACTGTTCAACCTATAATTTCTGAGTAAACGAGGGCTTTTAAACTGCAGAGATATTGGTTGAATAAAGTTCTCACATTTTTCACAGTGACACAAGAGATCCCATACTATTAAAATACCTAAAAATAGAAACCACAAATCTCACCATTTGAAATTCCTAAACAATTAACAATTAGCCTTTTTCAAAACCAACAAGATTCACTAAGGACCCAATCATCAAATGGCCAAATGCTACAAGTGTTTACAGATTAATTTAATATAATCACAAAGAGTACATATTTTTAACAATACAGAATATATCATTTTTATGCCATGTCATCTGAGATGATTTCTCATGGCAACTGCTAATGGATCAACTAGGAAACTACTCTGTATCTTCCTTACTGCTAAGTCCAAAATTCTATTTTTAGTTTGTATAATTTTAGCTTCCTTTGTAAGATAATAATTTGATGAAAGAAAAGGTTTTGGAGACTGCATTTTTTTATAATTATTTCCAAATAAATGTTTCTCCTAAATATCAGTTTAATATATTGCATATTTAAAATCCATTGGATCTGCTCAAAAAATATTTATTCTGGTCATACTGAACACAGCCTTTCATTATACTGTTCAATGTTTTCATGACACAAATAACATTATAACAACACCAATAAAATTCTGCTTAAAATATCACCATAAGCTCACCACTCAACTGAACAGTTTTCATTTATTCATGTTCTCTTCCAATTTTTATCAATATTTACTTAATTTTACATGATTGTAACTGATGTAAATATAACAGTTGTATTCTGTTTTATTTCCCCTGGGTACATTCAATATTTTCCATGTTATTAGTGCTTGTATTATTGCCTATATGAAGTTTCATCAAGTAGATACATCAATTTATTCAGCTATCCCCTTGATACAGAACAATTCCAATTTTTAACTATTAAAAATAACACTGCAATAAACATCTTTATGTACGTATTCTTTATTCAATCGGATTGCTAAACTGAAAGTTCCAGTCTTTCTGTGTTTGATTCAATTACTTTTAGGTTGGACCAACTGTTGTCTCCTTCATCCACATTTACAGATCACATCTACTCAACTGTCACTGGATTCCAATAAGCGAATAACTCCATGAGTACCATTAAGACTGTCATTGAACATCTTATAAAATTCCATGGTAAGCCCACATCTCCCTCAGATCTTACTATTCCTAAAACTATTCAAATATGACCTTGGCAATCACTTTCTCTGTCTGGCCCCTCAGTGTGGTCATCTGTAAAACAGAAACGTGTATAAATCTATTGTCAGGAGCAAGTGATAACAATGCAAGCAAAATGACAGTCCTTCTTAAGGTCTAGACTAGCTGCATTTGCTCAGACTGCTTCCTGCCATATAAAATGGAGTTGAGAGTAGATACTCAATAAAATTGTGGTAAGGACTGTTAATATATAAAGTATTTAGCACAGTCTCTCCATAAGTTTCCGAGATGTTACCTTTCCCTTCTCAAATTTATAAAGCAGTATTGAGAATTGCTAAGGAAATATCCTAGTTCCTTTTCAGTAACTGAAATTTAAGAAATTGGTTGTGAAAAGCTAATTAATGTTTCTAGGGAATGAAAAAAATCTAAGAATATTTCAATCTCAAGAGATCATGTCCTGTTTAAAACGCATTAAGTCATGTGATATTTTACAAATACCTCTCATCATCTTTGGTTTCATATAAGGTATTTGCTGAATTTTATTTTATTGCTTCAAAATTATGGTTTTTTCTCCCTCTCTTTTTTTAACAAGAAGCAGTACTGATGTACTTTTTTCCAGCTATTGCCTTTAAATGCAATTCGGTTTATGTCTTGTAGGATCCCACATTTAGAACTATAGCAAAGCAATAATCAACAATTCCAGATATAAAAACTCTCGTTATTGTATCATGAAACAAAATTAAATTGCAATACTGCTCACCTGGTCCCTTATCATCTGTAGTATCTTGAAAAAGCTTGAAAGAAAACAAAATACAACCTTGTGTATTATTAAATTTGCCTTAGCTATAAATAATTGAACTTGCCAAAAGAGATGACATTAAAAATACAATCCAATCTAGAGCAACTGGTAAAGAGTTAGAATTCCTTGCAGATAAATTCTCTTCCCACTAACTATCTTCGGGATTCTCTTGTGAACACACAACTGTTCCCAAACTGAATTGTTCCTCCCTATCCACTGGGATTTGCAAAGGAGGACACCTTAGCTGTGTTGCTGCATTTAAGTTTCTACCCCTTCTCATTCTTAAGTTGTTTGTAATATTTTCTAACACTTGAAACATGTCATACTTGAAACGTTTTAGACCAGAAACAGAGTGATATTAGAATATTAAATGAACTGTTTCAACAAAGTTTGTCTGTTAGAGCTCGACAGTCTCTGGCTATCAAATAGAGAGGATCAACAATTAAGATGCAATTCCCCTTTTTGTAAAGATTACCTGCAATTAGGTCATCTAAAACAAGCTTAAAAATATTGTTGAGTACATGTTGAGTATTATAATGTATTTTTTCAGTAACATGACCATACAAGGTTTTTTTTTTTTGGTATCATTAATCTAAAATTACATGAGGAACATTATGTTTACTAGGCTCCCCCCTTCACCAAATCCCCCGCACATACCCCAATACAGGCACTGTCCATTAGCGTAGTAAGATGCTACAGAATCACTACTTGTCTTCTCTGTGTTGTACAGCCCTCCCTGTGCCTGCCTCTACATTATGGCTGCTAATAGAAATGCCCCCTTTCCCCACTATTTCTCCCTTCCCACCCACCCTCTCCAGTCCCTTTCCCTTTGGTAACTGTTAGGCCATTCTTGGATTCTGTGAGTCTGCCGCCGTTTTGTTCCTTCCATTTTTTTCTTTGTTCTTATACTCCACAGATGAGTGAAATGATTTGACACTTGTCTTTCTCCGCCTGGCTTATTTCACTGAGCATAATGCCCTCTAGCTTCATCCATGTTGTTGCAAATGGTAGGATCTGTTTTCTTCTTATGGCTGAATAATATTCCATTGTGTATATGTACCACATCTTCTTTATCCATTCATCTACTGATGGACACTTAGCTTGTTTCCATTTCTTGGCTATTGTAAATAGTGCTGCGATAAGCATAGGAGTGCATATGTCTTTTTCAATTGGGCTCCTGCGTTCTTAGGGTAAATTCCTACGAGTGGAATTCCAGGGTCAAATGGTATTTCTTTTTTTAGTTTTTTGAGGAACCTCCGTACTGCTTTCCACAGTGGTTAAACTAATTTACATTCCCACCAGCAGTGTAGGATGGGTCCCCTTTCTCCACATCCTTGCCAACTTTTGTTGTTCTTTGTCTTTTGGATGGTGACGATCCTTACTGGTGTGAGGTGATATCTCATTGTGGTTTTAATTTGCATTTCTCTGATGACTAGCGATGTGGAGCATCTTTTCATGTGTCTGTTGGCCATTTAAATTTCTTATTTGGAGAAGTGCCTGTTCAGATCTCTTCCCATTTTTTACTTGGATTATTTGCTTTTTGTTTGTTGAGGTACATGAGCTCTTTAGTGGACCTGTCATTTATGCATATATTCTCCCATACTGTAGGATGCCTTTTTGTTCTATTCGTGGTGTCCTTTGCTGTACAGAAGCTTTTCAGCTTGATATAGTCTGACTTGTTCATTTTTGCTTTTGTTTCCCTTGCCCGGGGAGATATGTTCATGAAGAATTTGCTCATGTTTATGTCCAAGAGATTTTTGCCTGTGGTTTTTTCTAAGAGTTTTATGGTTTCATGAATTACATTCAGGTCTTTGACCCATTTCGAATTTACTTTTGTGTATGGGGTTAGACAATGATCCAGTTTCATTCTCTTGCATGTACCTGTCCAGTTTTCCAACACCAGCTGTTGAAGAGGCTGTCATTTCCCCCACTGTATGTCCATGGCTCCTTTATCATATATTAATTGACCATATATGTTTGGGTCAATATCTGGACTCTATTCTGTTCACTGCTCTGTGGCTCTGTTCTTGTGCCAGTACCAAACTGTCTTCATTACTGTAGTGTTATAGTAGAGCTTGAAGTTGGGAAGCGAGATACCCCCTGCTTTATTCTTCCTTCTCAGGATTGCTTTGGCTATTTGGGGTCTTTTGTGGTTCCATATTAATTTTAAAACCATCTGTTCCACTTCGTTGAAGAATACTGTTGGTATTTTGATAGGGATTGCATTGAATCTGTAGATCGCTTTAGGTAGGATAGCCATTTTGACAATATTAATTCTTCCTAGTCAAAAGCATGGGATGAGTTTCCATTTGTTGGTGTCCTCTTTACTTTCTCTTAAGTGTGTCTTGTAGTTTTCAGGGTACAGGTCTTTCACTTCCTTGGTTAGGTTTATTTGTAGGTATTTTACTCTTTTTGATGCTATTGTGAATGGAATTGTTTTCCTGATTTCTCTTTCCACTAGTTCATAGTTAGTGTATAGGAAAGCCACAAATTTCTGTGTATTAATTTTGTATCCTGCAACTTTGCTGAATTCCAATATTAGTTCTAGTAGTTTTGGAGTGGAGTCTTTAGGGATTTTTATGTACAATATCTTGTCATCTGCAAACAGTGACAGTTTGACTTTTTCTTTACCAATTGGGATGCCTTGTATTTCCTTGTGCTGTGTGATTGCCGTAGCTAGGACCTCCAGTACAGTGGGGAGAGTGGGCATCCTTGTCTTGTTCCCGATCTTAGAGGAAAAGATT